AGCCGTTGTCAGAGAAACACAGCTGAGAGGCAACAGGCACACATTCTGGGGCAAGGCAGCTGATAAACAAAGAGGGAAGCACATTCATGCCAGTACGAGGGGCAGCCCCTGAGTCTCCTCCAACTGTTCTCTGGCAAAATCTGCTTTCTGAAGAATTGTCTGCAAATAAACGTCTTTCTAGTGCTGGCTGGAGATAGAGTCCCCCACCCCCACCTTTCCCCTTTGGAGCCTGCCAAAGGGCACGTCTGAGTGTGGACTTGGCCAAGCAATTCAGTTAATATTAACATCATCTTGACAGCCAATCTGCAGTCTCCATGCCAGTCGGCAGTGTCCCAGAGCAGCCCACAGACCCGATGGAAAGGAAACACTGCCCACCTGCTTGTCACTCAACTTTCCCCCTTTGCTAGAGACCCCTAGACCCTGGAGAAGGTCCATCCTTGTGAATACCTGTAGGAAGTCCCACACTGGGGCCAGCCATATGCCAGGCTTAGTGCATCTCCTCATTCCCTTTCTTGCTGTCCCCAATGCCTTCTAGAAGCTCCCTATTAGCAGGAGATGAGACCTCTTTGTTCTTCCATGTATATGACCCACCTTGGGGCTTTGGGTGGGGAATCAGTGTGGCCTGCTGCTGTCCAAGCCCTGGCCCAGATCTTGGATAGACGGCACAGGCTAGTATCTCCAGGGTTAAAGCCTGGGTCCTACCATGCTTTGTGGTGGAATGAGAAGGCTGTGCCAAGATGGCGCTGGCAAGTGAGTGTCAGTTACTCAGGAAATGGCTTCAGAACCCACCTGGCAAAGGAGCCTGCCTGGCAACAGGCTCTGATTGGTTATGGCATAAACTGCCCTTTGACCAGATTAGCTGCCTTGGCTATATAAGCTGCTGCACCAACTGAAATAAACGAGTCTGCCAGCTGCTCACCTCTGGCCCGCTTTCACCTGACTCTCCGTGTCTGTATCCTGACTCTGCGCCTCTTGCCCCCACCGCGCTCCTTCTCCTGGAATGAATCCACATCAACAATGCTTAAGGCTGTAGCCACAGGAAGCTCCACCGTGGGGCTCCTGGAGGATGCAGCTACTTGCAGAAGAGGACAGAACTATCCACAGTATGGAAGCCTACGCAACACAGACCACTGGCGGCCACCAAGAAGTCTAGTCCTTAGCACACACAGCTCTTTCACAGCATCTGCACTTAGGAGAAGCAGGGATCAGCGCAGAAGTGCCTACCTCAGTTTCCCATAACCAGGACTCAAGGTGGTCGAGGCTTCCTAATGGTGTACAGTGGGCAGAGCGGACATTCTTGAGACAAAGGCCAGTAGCCCGTTTGTTGGTGTCCAACTCTGTGCCTGCCATCATGTGATGTAGCCTGGGGTATGGACTCACTGAGTTCTCCCAACAACTCAGAGGAGATGGGCACATTTACTACCCTTATTTTTTTAAATTGTGAGAAAACACATGCAACATAAAATTAATACTTGATCTGTTTCAAATGCACAGGTCAGAATTGATATTGTGCAATCTCCAATATGCCTAATATCTTACAAAACTAAAACCCAGCATCCACTAAACAACAGCCTCCCATTCTTGCACTCCTTCAGCCTCTGACAGTCAGCATTGAGTGTCTGCGCCCTTGAGCATGACCACTCTTCCCAACTCACATAAGGGAAATCAAATAGTATTTGTCTTTTTGTAATTGGGTTATTTTGCTGAGCATAACAGCTTCAAGTTTCAACCACATCGCAGCAAGTATCAAACTTTCCTTCCTTTTTAAAACTGAATAGTAATAGGGGCCGGCACTGTGGTGCAGCAGGTTAACGCACTGGCCTGAAGCGCCGGCATCCCATATGGGCACCAGTTCTAGTCCCGGCTGCTCCTCTTCCAACCCAGCTCTCTGCTATGGCCTGGGATAACAGTAGAGGATGGCCCAAGTCCCTGGCTCCTGGCTTCGGATCGGCACAGCTCCTGCTGTTGTGGCCAATTAAGGAGTGAACCATCAGATGGAAGACCTCTCTCTCACTCTCTGCCTCTCCTCTCTCTGTGTAACTCTGACTTTCAAATAAATAAATAAACCTTTTAAAAAACTGAATAGTAATAGTCTATTGTGTGTAGATACCACATTTTGTTTATTCATCCACAGATGGACATCAGGGCTGTTTTTACTTCTTGGTTAGTATGACTAATGATACCATGAACATGAGGACACAAATATTTCTTTGAGACTCTGTTTCAATTCTTTTGTAAATATGAAGACAAGGCAAAAGTGTCATGGAAATGCGGAATTAAAAGATAACTGTTTCGGTGCAAAAATCTTTTGAAATCCATGCCATTTTTCATAATATGAATTCTAAAGAAACTTTTGGAAGTGAAGTTGTTTTTTGTTTTTGTTTTTTTTTTTTTGAGGGACTGCCAAATTGCTTTCTACAGCGGCTGCACCATTTTACATCCCCACCAGCAATGGTTCCAGCTCCTTCATCTCCTCACCCAGGCTAGTTATTCCTCACTCTCCCTCCCTCCCTTCCTTCCTATCTTTCTGTTGCTGTTGGCAGTAGCCATCCTCATGGCCATGTGGGAGGCAGTATCTCATTGCGGTTTTGATTTGCATTTCCCTAATGATTATGATGTTGGGCATCATTTCATGTGTTTGTATCCACACTTCACAGATAAGGAAACAGGCTTTGAGCAGTGCTAACTGCTTGAAGTCAGCCAGACAGCGGGCAGTGCCGTCAAAACTGGCCCTCCAGCAAGTGTGATTTCAGAACTCCTTGTGCACCGCCCTCTGGGTGCCATCCTGTTCACCCATCTGACTCACCTTGAGGTTTGCTTTCCTCGCTCCTCCTCCCAACCACCGGCGCTCACTTGCCCTTTATTTTACCCCTACCCCTAAATAAAGGAAGCAAGGAAGGGAAAGGCTGCTGAAGAAACCGAATCCTGGTGCCTGGGCGTGTGAAAGGATCACAATAGGTGTAGCTAAGGACACGGAGGCCAGAAGCTACGCGTTCTCATACCCACAAGTCAACCAAACCAGCAGAGAAGTGGAAAGCAGAGAGGTCTGCCCAGCTCTCAGAGAAGGCTGCAGCCGGTGGGTCCTGCCTCCCCTACAGGTGCAGCAACTCTTGCAGGAAGTGACATGGGATGAGCTGGGCCCCTGACTTAGCTGCCACCCAACTAGGAGTGGGCAAGCACCCAGAGCCTCCACTTAGGAGATCAAAGCCAGAGTAGAACAGCCACCAAAGTAGGCATGGTGCTATTGCTGGGGCCATCTAAGGCAGCCCACGGGCTAGAGACCCCACAGCTGCCATTGCTGACTGCCACCATTCTGTTGCAGCAGGAACTCCCAAACTTCCTCACTGGTCTTGTTGGTTTTCACAGCAGCTACAATAAACTCCCTTGAAAGACACAAATCTGACCGCACTATTTCCTCACTGACCTCAGAACAAAGTCAACATCTCACGGTACCTATGTGGCCCACAGTAAACTGGCCTGTAGGGAATTCACCTGGCATCCCCCAAGCTCCAACCACCTCGACCTAGGAGAAGTCCATTTCTAGAGCTCTCCAGCTATTGAAAGAAATGTGTGGGCCGGCACTGTGGTGGAGCGGGTAAAGCCACCACCTGCAGTGCCCACATCCCATATGGGTGCCGGTTTGAGTCTTGGCTGTTCCACTTGTGATCCAGCTCTCTGCTATGGCCTGGAAATGCAGTAGAAAATGGCCCAAGTCCTTGGGCCCCTGCACCCATGTGGGAGATCCAGAAGAACCTCCTGGCTCCTGGCTTCGGACTGGCGCAGCTCCAGCTGATGCGGCCAATGGGCGAGTGAACCAGCAGATGGAAGACTCTTCTCTCTCGCTGCCTTTCTGTAACTATACCTTTCAATAAATAAGTTAGATAACTCTTTAAAAAAATAAGTATCCATGTTCTGTGACTGGATGGATCCTACCATATTTCCAGACTCAGCTCATATTTTTCATCCCTTCTTAGAGTATTTCCTCACCTTGTTATTCCACAGAGAGGGTGGTTTGTACATTCTGGGTCACACAGCACACAAAGGAGGATTTGAATTTGGACTCCAGAAGTCCATTGCTAACCAGGGTTGATGTAGCCTTATAGTCATTGTACTCCTGGACAGGTGAGCTCTGAGTGCAGGCCCCATATCCCAGATGTCTATACCTCAGGGCCTTGCAGCAGGCCAGACACAAAGTGTCCACTGGGGAGAAGGGATAAAGGATTAGCCAACACCACTCATGGGTTTTTCTCGAGAGAAACACAGGGCTGAGGAGGGGCCAGAAGCAAAGGAATCCCATCCATCTGATCCAGAACAGGAACTGGACCCTGTGTGTGCCCTGCCCAGCATCTGCTGGCCTTCACCGGGAGTGGGGAGGAGACCTGTATGTACGTCCTGATTCCCGAAACTTAGAAAGCTGCCACCCAACTGACTCAGGACACGGAGGGGCTGGTGGCACAAACAGGAGCCCCTGTCCCCAGGTGGGCCAGTACTCAGAGAGTCTCTCTGTGGGAGCCTTGGGGCCAGGGCTGTGCCTCCTCCAGTTCTTTGCATGCAGCCAGCATCAGGAGGCACCCTGCTTCTGCAGAAAGCCGGGTCAGTGTCCCAGGGCACCAAGGGCTCAGCAGAGTCCCTCACAAGCCTCCTCCCAGCCCTGGCAGGAAGGTGACTCACGCTGCCAATCTGGGGCAGCCTGGGACTGGGCCTCCCAGAACAGCATGTAGACTCTTAGGAAATAACACCGTTTGTTATGAAACTCAGAGGAAAAGAACAGTTGGTGACACCGTTCCCCTCTCCATCACGCCCATACTAGACATAAACCACCTGGGAATGCGTCCTGCTGCTCTCTCTCGGACTGCACCTGTCCCTAGAAGCACACCCCAGGCAGGTGTGATGGCGAGGGCGCGCTGACCTCAGGCACTGCAGCGGATTCTCTGGGGACCTGATGATCCCGGGACCCCGGGCCTCTGCACCCTTGGCCCGGCGGCCGGCGCGGCACCCACCTCGGTCACGATGGTGGACAGGTACACGTCCTGGCTGTACTCCCAGCCATCCAAGCAGCTCTCCTGCTCCAGCTGCTCCAGGTCCACGTCGCGCCCGGGCTCCAGCCCCAGCGCCGAGAAGTTGGCGATGGCGGCGAGCCGGTAGCGCCGGCAGCTGTGAGGCACCTCGCGGCCGTCCTGAAGCCGCAGCGGGACACTGTGGTTGCGCCACGCGCTGCTCAGGTTCGCCGACTCCGGCACCCGGCAGCGGTGCTCGGGGGTCCCCGCCAGGAACACCACTGACATCCCATTGAAGCCGTTTGGGATGATGCTGGCGCTGAGCAGGAAGAAGATGAGGCGCTGGAAGGGCCCCCACTCGCCCAGAAACGCGGTCACCTCGTCGTAGTCCCGCATTCTTCCAGCGGCTGCTCTGCTACAGCTTGGAACAAGGGTGACAGAGCGTCCTCGGGCCGGGGTTGTCCCCCAAAGGCACACCGCTCCGGGAGAAGACGGGACGACCTCAGGAAAGCGAGGCGCACGGCTGGGCACCGTCCGAAGCAAACGCTCCGCGGGGCTCGGCGCAGCGCTGGATGCGCACAGGACCACACCTCCCTGTTCGCGGCGCGCGGCGGAGGGAGGCGGCGGGAGGCGGCGGGGCCCGCCTGGGCGGGGCTCCAGGCCGGGCTCAGCCTTGCCGCCTGCTAGAGGAGGAGGAAGCTCTGCTCCCCGCACTCCGTCGTCCCGGGAGAGTGCCGGAGTGCGCACTTTACAGTCCCCGGCCCCACGTGGGAGGGCGGGCGAAAGGGAGGAGCCGGAGCAGGAGTGCTAGGTCTCCGAGAGGCCTCCCAGGCCTAGCCTCCGGCAGGGGTCCCTGCGCTGTCCAGGTCCCTAGTTTAAGTCCGCGGGGCGCGGACGGCGGCAGCAGAGTCCCAGGCTCCCGGGAAACTCCTCGCTTTGGGCTCCCCGTCAAGGCGCGGGCACTAGGTGCTGCTAACCGGGCGCTTGCTCTGCGCCCGATCACGGGAGGGAGGCCTGGGGACAGCCCGGAGCCTCTCCTTGGAAAGAGGACACGGGCCCAGAGCCTGGAAGGGATAAGTAAGGTCACACTGTGTCCGGGATGGGTCCCAGGCAGAAGGCAGGCAGGGACCGGTGCTACTGGCTCGCTCCCGGGATCGGCCCGAGGCCCTCGTGGGGCTCAGAGATTTCAGCACCGAGCCCGGGCCCTGCCAGAGCGCAGTGGTGGAGGCGCTGCCGCCACCGCGCCCGGCTTCCGTTTTTGGTGCCTTGGTTCTCCCCATGGCCCCAGGGCTCTTGGTTGGGGCAGGTTGCCAAAGCCGTCTTGGACTGGCAGCTTTCGGTTGGCAGAAGGGTCTGTCCCCGGTCCAGGAACAGAGGGAGGAGGAGAACATCCCACTTGGCGCCTGGAGCTGGCAGACCGCAGCCCCTAGCCCCAGTCCCACCCTTTTCCCCACCGCTCAGGCCCAGGTCCAAGACGGATCTGTGGGTGTGTGCGCCTGCCAGGGGCCCGAGGCAGGTGAGACTGGCGCTGACGAGCACATGACTTTGGAGATCTCCACTGGGGAAGCTGTTTCTCCAGAACCCCATATCCCATAAAAAAGCAGAGGGACCTATCTGTACCTAACAGTCTGACCCTGCCTCTTAAACTAGCTTCCTGCTGCCTGGGACGCCGATGTGCCAGAACAGCTCGGATTCATGCCTATTAATCCAGTAAACTACTAACAGATTCTCTTTACTTTCATAAGTACCTTCTTTGAATGGCATCTCATGGTCATTGTCTCAGTTAGCTAGTGATTCATCCCTCCACTCCCTACCCCATATAATAAAGCAAAGCTTGAGCCAAGAACTTGTGTGAGGCAGTTTATTTTGAGTAGTGGTGAGGGAAGGGGTGAACTCAACACATGACTATGAAAGTGAGCTGGTCGTTGACCGATACCCGTGCTAAGCCAAGGGGCCCTACTGAAGCTACAGGACAAATAAGCACCATCGATCCTGTCTTTATTTAAAATCTCAATATTGTGCTCATTAAGAATTTTTGCATGAATTATGATTCTTAAAAATGTTGCACTAAAACATGATCCAGATGCCTAGACTTCTTGGCACCCTCTCACATTTGCACTGGAAGCAAGTGCCTTGCTCTTGTCACTTACCTAAGCTTTGTCTCAGTCTCCACTGCTTTGAGTGGGCCCTTCTAAAGAGCCATACAGAATGAGAAAGTGTTTGTTTCCTGGTCCTGTCTCTCTTGGTTAACTCCTCTGAACTTCCGGGTTGCACATATGTTCAAGCTGAACAGGTACCACTTGACTGAGAGGTTTGCCATTGCTCATCACTGCACAGAAACCCACACCCTGAACATGGCTCACCCTCCATACGTTGTAAATGAACAAGGTGCACTGCTTGCAGCTCAGCCCACTGGGAGGATTTTTTGTTTTGTTTGTTTGTTTAGGATGAACATAGCAAGCTCACCATCGGTGAGTCAGAGCTGAGTACCCTTTCCCTCCGTCAGTTGGTTAGAGACCCACTCCATGTGGCCATAGGTTTGAACTGACAGAGAAGTGTTGGTATAGCCAAGGGAGGTGAACCTTGGCCGTTATTGGCTGAGCCAACTGTAATTGACTTACGTGTACACCGTTGATCTGATTAGTCCTGATCCTGAGTGTTCCATTTCTATTATGTGAGACACATTGCTGATGACCTGATAGAAATTGACAATACCCAGATTGTACTGGGCACCTCTGGTTGCATAAAACTTTGATGTCCCATTGACAGGCCCTCAGGTTTTATTAAGGCCCAATAGCTGCTTTTCAAAAGTTGAATATCTCTCTGCTGCAGATGATGGTCTTGCCTTGGAGATGTGCACTACATCTCTATTACCAGGGCTAGTCAGACCCTCTCGCCAGCATCTCTGTTCACCATAGACCAATGGTGCAAATGGCAAGGGAGTTTGCACTACATTTGGGCCCACTGTAGAGCTCTTTCTTGCTCTGGGCTTCACTTGAAATGGGGAGCCTTCCAAGACAGCCAAGAGATGGCCCAGAGTAAGAATCATCAAGCACTGTGTGGTATGGGACACCACTTGCCTTTACATTATAGGGCATAACTAGTATGTTCCTGATAATGTCATCAATTTGTTTTGAAATAATATGGGATGGGAAAAAAAAGTGTGTAGGGATACAGAAAAGATTAGCCATGATAGTGGTTCTAGGAATTCATTCTACTAGTTTGCCTACTTTTATGTTCATTTAACTTATTCTAGAACTAAAAGGTAAGAAAATACTTCATCAACATGGACAGGCCTGAATCTTTATACTTTTTATCTCCCATCCTCTGGCTTGCAAGTGTCTTCCCAGGCCATGGAGAGTATTTGCTTATTCTCATTCACTAGTCAGATCAGCATTATGTCATACATGCTCTGTGCTAGCATGATGTCCTATGGAATATGAAGATAGCCAGAGTCATTAGATACTTGATTGTGACACAGAGCAGGAGAACTGACATAGTCCAGGAGCAAGAGACTGAGTATCGAGTGCTGTTATTGTCACTAAAAGCAAACAGCTTTTGATCCTTAGTCTATTTTCCACTACTTTAGCAGAATATGACAAACTGTACAATGTATAAAGAAGAGACCAAGAATCTGACCTCAAGGTGCTGCCATGTGACAAGGGCTTGCTCTCGGTGTTGTGATGAGGCAGAGGGCACCGTCCCATGAAGGCATGCGTGCAGAGTCTGCTTCTACAACACGGCCACTTCCACAGTGAATTCATCCAGCATGGGGCATGCAGGAGAGCAGAGCCCTGGGACCTAACTCCTTTTAAAGGGCTTATTACCTCCCGACACTGTCACAGTGGCAGTGAAGACTCAAAATGGGTTTTGAAGAGGTCATTTAAACCAAATCAATCCACCTTAGGGAGGATATTGAAAAGAAAGCCGGGGCCAGCGCTGTGGCACAGCAGGTTAACGCCCCGGCCTGAAGCACCAGCATCCCAGATGGGCCCCGGTTCATGACCTGGCTGCTCCACTTCCCATCCAGCTCTCTGCTATTTATGGCCTGGGATACCAGTGGAAGATGGCCTGAGTCCTTGGGCCCCTGCACCCACATGGAAGACCTGGAAGAAGCTCCTGGCTCCTGGCTTTGGATTGGCTCAGCTCCGGCCATTGCGGCCGACTGGGGAGTGAACCATTGGATGGAAGACCTCTCTCTCTCTCTGCCTCTCCTCTCTCTGTGTAATTCTGACTTTCAAATAAATAAATAAATACATTTAAAAAAAAAGTCTTTGATGTTAGGATAATCTCTGCACTTACTGCTCAGCAAGATGGAAGTATCAGGGCCTTCTCCGTTTGGCCTTTCCTACCAAAACAGCTCTAAATAGCACAGATAGTAAATGTCGGGGTCCTGCCACCTGCTGAGTGCGTCTATGCCAGTTATTCACCTAGAGACAAGGTAAACTCTCCAGTGTGGATCTTCAGACTCACTGGACCAGTTTGCACAGGAACTCCATTTATCCCCGGGCTTTTATGAGCCACTGGTTTGACTGGGGGCCCATAGTAGTGTTTTCCATCAGCTGGAGTTGACACCAGCTCACACACTGTGCCCAACAGCCCTCCAGAGGTCTGGTTCTTCTCCTTTTCCCAGCCAGACTTACTCTGGTAAAAAGCCACAGATCATTAATGGGGAAAGACTGGGGAAATAATTAACATGTATACTCTTGGTAGCACTGGAAGGTTCTTCTAGAAAGAGAGTTTGCCTTCCCTGAAGTCCCTGAGAACTGGCCCAGATCCGAGAAGTTTAAGGAAATACTATTTTCCATTGCAGCAGCTGTCATTTGCCTTCCATAGTCTAGATTCTGATTTTGGCAGCGCAGTTGTTGTATTGTCAGAGTAACACCTGGTCACCTACCAATCTATTTAACTCCTGGAAACACCAGGAGTGTTCTACTAGCCATTGGGAGTGTTCTATTAGCCACTGCCATGGGCCAACTATAGAACTTAGCACTCTGACTGCCACTTTGGTTTTGTGGTGATGACGTCCACTTTAAGGATTAAGTATTCCCACCTGGTGTCTGCTATTCTAGAAGCCTCCCATCCCTGGGGACACTAGGGGTCCTTTCCCTTCGCACTTTGTGTTGCCCTAGTGAAGGAGGGGTGCTCTGGACTTCCTGAAGACTGTAAAAGTACGGGGGTAGATCTTCCAGGCATGCATGCTGACTGGTAACTACAGTCCAATCCTCTCATCCCCTTGAGCTTCTCACTCCTTCAGTACTCTTCCAAGAAAGTCATGGCCTCTCCACCTCATTCCTTAAGCAGTAACTGTATCCAAATTTCCAAGAGCTATCTGAGAAGCAGATGAAGAGAGCTGTATGTATCTTTGCTTGGATACTAATCACTGAGTAATAAAAGAGTGTGCCAAGGGTCATAAATTCTCACACAGGTTACCCATGCTCCTGCCAGAACACAGGACCTGTAATGTGTGCTTGCTCGTCTTCTGCAGGTCAGGAACTGTGTTTCCCCACTTAGGCTGTGCTGAGACCTAACCCTAGCTACTGGTGGAAAAAAAAACATCATTTTTGAGGTCTCTTCCCTCAGGAGGAATCTGGCAGGGACTCCAGGACGGAGAGGCTTTTCTCCTACAGCAAGGGGGGAAACAGCGGTTTCTGCTGACCTTCAAGGTTCAGGGGCATCCAGAAATTCAAAATTCTCGCCTTAATCTACCCACATGTCTTTACTCTGTGTTCC